TACTCTCATCAAGAAGCGATGACACATTTAGCAATTCTCATCCCTTCGAAGGTCATCGAAGGAAAGACCAATGACTATCAACTGCGGAGGTCGAAGTTCACGGACTAGTCTCCAGCGTTATAGCGCTACAGAAGGGGACGAAAGAGGACTGGCGGCAACAGTGACATTTGAAAATGATAAAAGCGTCGTCTTAATATTTGAGTTATTAATGCTCAATTTTAGCTTCTTGATTCTTCAAGCATTCTCTCTCAAACCTTTCTCTTTTCTCAGGAACCTTCAATTCTAACCATCTACCCGTTTTTACGCACACGTTCCGTCACTCACGTGAAGTTGGTTCAAAAACGTCACAAAATGAAGTGGGTATAGTTTAGCATTATTGAGGGATGGGGGAGGGAGAGGGGAAAGTTTGTTCCTCATCGTGAATTATCTGTAAATATGTAGCACTAACTAACGTTACTGTTGATATTATCGTCTTTTTTCCTGAATTTAATAATTGGATGAAGTTCGTATTCGTTGTGTTTATTTCTTTACATTTTGAGAAATGCTTCCATTCCATTTAATTTGTTTAGAAATCTTTTAAAATAATTGTTTCAGTTGTTGCTAATAGTTAAATTCGAAGGGGAAATAACGTTACAATTCCAAACGTGTATATAGTCGAGTGAGTTAGGACGAGGCTAGCATGTTAGCAGTTAATGATTAATCATGGTATTTCTATAAAGCCTGAGATTAATCCATATCACTATCAGAAAGTGAAAAATGAAAATGCAAAAGTAGGAATAATTTTAGGAAAAAATACAGCTGAAATATGGATAAAATTGTATGCAGCGACAGATCTCGCGAAATTCTTAAAGAGTACAATGAAATCAACAGCTTCGCGATGACTTTAATTGAGAGACAGAACAAAATGGGTACTTTCTGCGTTTCATCTTTTCTGATATCTTAACGCAAAGTGTTACGGGTGTATCACAATATGAAAAGTAGTGTTTCAGACATACTGAAAGTTCTTGACTTATTGGAACAAATGAGGCAGAATTGGGATTATGAAAAAATGAGAGCAGAAGCTGTGCAGGAAGAACTTGATCGGAGGAATAAGGAAAAAGAGTAGGTTTTTTTTCAAAAATTTGGAGAATTATGCAAATTTTTATCTTTGTTGGGTGATTTTTCGACATAATTTAGATATAAAAGTAAGATATATACCTCTTTATTGTATAATTCTTTCGGATGTTTCTTGCTTACTTTCGGAAATATTTTGGCTGTGGTTCATTTTTTTTTCGGAAATATTTTGACTGTGATTCTTTTTTTTTGCCGCGTTTTTTATGAGGTTTGCATTCGTAATTTACGAGAGCTTGCATAATGTTTGAATGTTATCCAACTCAGTTGGTTTTAGCGGAATGCGGAAAGAAATTCGGATCTACAGGGAGCAGCTTCGTGATGCTCGGAGTCAGATCGCAACTCTAATGTCTGATAAGAAAAGCATGGAATATGATATTGCTGAGTGGGAAAGGAAATTCGAACTTGTCAATGATCTTCTGAAGGTCATCATTTTATTGTGCTGTCATTAGTGCTATCAGTTAAAGTTGAAGTAAAACTTGATTCATTATACTTAAAAACATTCCTCGCATTTTTTATCGAACACGATTACTTTTTAGGATCAGTCACATTTGAGCATAGAGGATCGACAGAAATTGTTTGCGAGTGGTAATATACGAAATAGAAAACGTAGTACACTGCGAGAAACACGCCTCAGTTCTTTACGTGACTCGTCAGATGGAGAAAACATAGACTACGATAAAACTGCCGATACATTTGATATTTCATCGAATGAAATAGACGAATCACGTTTGAGGAGTGGGAAAGTTTATAGAAGGCAAGTGATGTCAATTTGTTTTGATTTTGTAAAATTAATTGAAAGAATTTTTGATATCGTTCGTTTCTCAAATTTAGATCACATAGTATGATTTCGCTGACAACAAAACGTGTCTCAGCAGTGGCTAGCAAGCGACCAAAAAAAAGCACGATGATAAATACCGTTGAGGAGGAAGTGGTAAGCTTTAATGCAATTCCTTTAATTTTAAAGTTATCATTAATATTTGACCTTTACTACTATTCTTAATTTCAGTGTAGTGCTTCGCTGAACTATATCCTCCAAATATTCACTAAATTTTAGGAAGCACCTTGTAAGCGATCTAAAGATGGGATAGAAACACATATTACAACAATGGATACAGTGAACGCTGAACACATTAAATCACCTACAGCTAAAATAGTTACCAGAAATTCAATGAATCGTTCATTGTCTGCAGCCAATATTCCCGATGTTCGTGAAATTGCTGTTGTTAATTTTTTACTATTCATCAGTTGATTGATTTTCTTTCTCCATAGTTCAGAATGAACGACTCGATTTTTTTCAAAATTTTAAAAATTTTTTTTGAAAGAGTCTACTTTAAATTACTAGTAGATTAAAACGACAAATCAAAAACTAATATTATATTTTTAGAAGTCAGAAGAGACGCTAACATTGCCAACAAATACGTTGACACCACGATGTGGAACCAGTACAACCGATCTGTTAGTTTTCTTTAAAATTAAATTTCTTCATATGAAAGGGGGAAGAAAGGGGAACTTGCCTTTTACGCTATATTTTTTGTGATGTGATTATTTGTATTATTTATAGCTGAACGATTTCCTGATGATCGTAATGTGTTTTTGAACTAGACTGAACGATTTAAATTGTTTTGCGCATAGATTTCACTTTTCATCTTAACAAATCCTTTCATCTAATTTTTCCATACTCTTGCTAACATTGTGAATGATGCTTGAATCACTGACAAATACAGTAAACTTGTGAAAAGTAACCACTTATAATGTATTACATGTACCTATCACAAACTTGAACTTAAAATAGATTCTGTAAATCATATGTTTTGCAACAGAAGGAATTGGTATATATTTGATGTTAAAAATAATTGAGCGAACCAAAAAAAATTTTTTAAATATATTGGAAAACGATCTTAGTCCATCTTTAATATGAAAAGAATAAAGTTAACTAAAATCATATCGAAAGATGAGAAAAATGTTAAAACTGAAAAAGGCTGTTTTAGAGTATAAATTTTTAGTGTCGATGAAATATCAGAACCTATATAACAAAAATTTTTTTGATTTTCGAAAAAAAACAAGTGAGGTAGAACTGTATTATTTTCGCTTGTATTATTGACATCTGCATAATCAAGTAGTACTGGTGATTTATGGATTAGATTTGTGGACATTATATTTGCATTATTTAATTACTCTATACAACAAGAGATTTTTAATTTAAATTCAACAACGTTTGGGTTAGCAAATCTGAATGATTTTTAAATAATATTTGTTAACTTAATAATATAATCTTATTCACGTAAAAGTCATCAGATCTAATGCGTATATAAATATATTCAGTACTGGAATAATGCACAAGAACAAAAGCACAACAGGGATAAGACTTGTCATAGATTGTCTTTTCGGAACGAGATCCAAAATCCTTTTAGCATAATTCTTCAACACACTTGCTTTTTTCACAACATGTTTTTCTCCTCCATGTTCAGTGCAAAAAGGTATTTCAGATGTTTAATTCAAAAAATAATGCTTCATTCATTCACTTTTCTTATCAGAAATGATTACATAAACTGGTTTTCGATATATGCAAAAAATATTTTTAAAGGAGAACTCCATTAAGCGGCACAAAAACTTGGACTCATGGTGCATCAATTTCGACACGTCCACATACATACACAAATCACAGTTCAATTCTTGGAGTTCATTGCGAGGTGTGTAATGGATGGATTGGAATTGTTGGGAAACAGGCTTATAAATGCTGTGGTAGTTTTTTTTTAATTTTCACTAAATGCAAAATTCATTTTCTAAAAGAATTGTTCATAACATCCTACCACAAGTTTAAGCGAAACAGAAACCTCATATATAGACAAAGGTAAACTTTTGATCTTTAAATCACAAGGGAAAATTTAGTTCTCCAGATGTGTTATTGAAGTTTCACAACATTCTTTAATTATGCATTTTCACATTTGTAACAGCTATTCAGATTGTGGTTTACACGTTCATAAAGCATGTGTCGATAATGCACCTATACCTTGCGTGCCACGAACTCCAACATCTCGGACACCTGCCAAACAGCGTCCACGCTTGAAGGATTTATGTCCTTCCACGCAGCCTATGATACCACCAATTCTTATTCATTGCATTTTGGCTCTAGAAAAGAATCGACTATGCTCAGAGGGTATTTACCGAATTCCTGGGTAATTTATTGGAGTCTTTAGTTTTAACTTAATCTAGAAAAAATTTTCAGAGACGCATGATTTAAAATCATTTAGAAAGTTTCGTACGAAACGTGCTTCCATCCATCTCTTATAACTTCCAGGGATGATAGTCAGGTTCAGAAATTATTAAATGAATTTCAAAATGGTCGCTTCGTCCCGAAATTGGATTATCATGACACGGAAACAATAACGAGCTGCGTTAAGCAATTCTTAAATAAGCTACGGGTTCGTCAGATCAATACTTTGTTTTCCCTCAATTGTAGTTGTTATTAATAGGTTACTGAGTATTCGTTAAATTCCATAAATTTACAGAATTCTTTAGATTTCTATGAATCTCAACTTGTAGGATCCAGTAATTCCGAGCACATCTTGGGAGGAATTTGTTAATGCAGCCAAAACGAATGATATTGAAGCTCTGAATCAAGCAGTTATGGATTTACCCTATCCAAATCGAGATACACTTGCTTTTCTCTGTGCTCATTTTCAAAAGGTTAGTTTGTTGGAAAGTTATAAATAAAAGATACTGGTATTGGAATTTTTAAATTTTGAAAACTAGGCACCTCCGCTTCACTATATAATAAGTCATAGATCTCAACCAGTAGTAAAAATAAGCACTATTACCTAGCGACTAACATCCTACTACTTTCTGAAGTGAAATTGAGAACATTTAACAAAATTTATTCTACCGTGTTTTGTGCTTCAACTACCTCTCCGCTTCAATTTTCGTTTCAGATTTGTGATAACTGCATTCAAAACAAGATGCCTCGAAATATCCTAGCACGTTGTGTCGCGCCAATGATTGTAGGTCCAACTCCTTCACATGTAATGAGAAATGACGAAGAAAAAAAGCAGGTTGATATACAGTTTTTTTAATAAATTTAAATATTTTACTATTCGAATGCATTTTATACCTAGCGTAAAGTGATTTTTTTTTATATTTGAAGGAGGTTATAATATAATGCAAAAAAGAATAAAAGACCGTAACTTGTTTTGCAGATAATGGTTATGTTAGCGCTGCTTAAGATGCCTTCAGACTATTGGCCTAAATTCTACAATTTTGATAATGGAATACCATTGATCAACAACCTTAAGAGGTAAGTAATAATTCTATGGAGCAAAACAAAGATAATAAAGAGAAACATTTTTTTTAGAATTTTCATAAACTTTTGAAATATTGTGTATTGATTTAATAAAGAAAAAAAGAGCATGCATTATGAAGGTATTTTCAGTACCTTATATGACAACAGGAAATCTGTGAGAACCCCGTACAAGAATCCAAATAAATCAATTCTTGGGCCAGTTGAAACTCCGCCATCTGGCCAAAAAACAAGTATGTGCCAACCGAAAATATCTAGACGAAAGCATTTTCTCGGCGATATTTTTTGAATTTGGCTTCGTTTCATGTTTTTGATATGAAAATATTTTTATTCTGGTGTAATTTCCAAAAACCATTTTAAAAATTTCTGTAGCATTAAATGCTTTTTTTCGAAAGACAACTAACAATCCTTTTCGACCTTTTTGGCCTTTTTGACCAAACTCTTTTGACTCTTTTGGTCTTCAACAACATCAACATTTATCTGATAGCATATTTCCTTTTCGACTACGCGTGTTATTGTAATGGAATCAACTTATGTTCTAAGAAGCATACTAGTTTTCTGTTCACGCTTGAATTTATTCTTTGAGTATGTTTCAGTAAATAATATTTCTAGTGTAGCTCCCGTTAGTTTCTCTTTGACCTAAACTGATCCTTTGTACCTAAATTGAATTCTCCATGTATTTAACATTTCATCTATTATCTTGTACGACACCATTTTTATATTAATTGGAACAGAAGTTTGGGAAATTTTTATCGAAGGTTTTATGTTTGACATATTGTTACGCAGTTTGCATTTTGTTATTGTTAGCAATACAAAAAACTCCCGAGAACTTTGCTTCTCATACTTATTTAATTCTTATCTCGAAATACTTTTAGTAAGCGATATGTTTGATTTGATTCAAACTTTTAAACTGAAAGACCAAGTTTACGAGCCGAATAACATCATTCCAACTAAAACTAAACATCTTGGTGATAATAATTTATTCATGTGGATGTAATTCTGAAATGTTTGGTACAATTATTTGTGTTTTTGTTTTTCTTATATATCCTATTCTCCGATGATCGCTACACAATAACATTGTGTATACATCACGGTGCTTTTCATTATCATTTATTGATTCGCTTTTGAAGACAATTAACAATAGCTTATTGTGTGTACAATAGTAGTTAAAATGTTGCACACCCGGGAAAGTTATACTGGGCACTTTTCTGACATCAATAAAATATTTTCGGTTGATATTAATTTTATTTTCAATGCAGTAATGATTCGATTCGACCTCTCTGATCTGGAGGAGTACAACAGAGACAAAAAAAAGAACTCTATGAACCGAATTTTCAAAACAATTACAAATTTCTAATAGCTGAGATGAGGACGCCGGGTGGTACGAACGAGGGATTCGTGCTTAGGGCTGCAATAGAAGCAGTTGTTAAATTTATGAAAGGCGGGAAGATTGGAGTGTCAGACGGTTTCAAGATTTGTTTTTGTCGAGATAAATGGCATCATGAAATTTCAATTTAACCAATACAGTAGCGTACTGAAGTTTTTAATTTGTATTTCTTTTTCATATCGTGACGGGATTGTTTATCATTTTTTGGTTTATATGTCACTTTTTCTATGCATCCTCACTATTGATATACGTTTTCATTAACTAATGTGACTCATCGATTGGTTTTTTTCGGTATTATTTATTGATGTTTAAATATTCCATATTTGCGAAAATATTGACTTGAAAAAATTATTGCAAATTTACAATTCTTATCATTTGTTTGTTGTCATTTTATGAAGAATCACATCGTCATCATATCATTCGTGTTACACTTGTGCCTTATACGGAATAAAAGTTTATTAATTTCTTGCAGAAGAAACATGAAAGAAGTGATGAATGATAATATTTGCTACGATAGATCACGTATTATCTTGAATGAATATGCCGAAACAATCAGTATTGCTAAATTTCTCATGGAGGGACAAAACAGTAGTAAGTTTGTCGTTTTTGAATATACAAAAATTTACAGTTGATAAATATATTAAGGCATCGAAAGTAATCTTACCTTTGTATTTTCTACTAAAAGTTTCACCAAACTGATATTAAGACAACTGCGCAATTTAATGTTTTTGTTATATTTGCTAGTTTCGGCTTATAAAGAATTTGTGGAAGAATTGACGGTGGTTTTGAAATTAATTTATGCAAAATTTTAGAAGTGCAAGCTTTTTAAATTTTAAAATCATTGTTACGAAGCTCATTCGCAATAATAGGAAGTTAGTAAACTGTGAATCTTCCTTATAATCATATGCCTTTGTGACAGTTGTATTTCATTATCACTTCTTTATATTACTTCCGTCCATAGCAATATATCTTTACGGTTTTGCATGAGTTAACTCAGTTCAAATTGAGTTACATATTATTGTATCATCGCAAATAGATTATGTCAATTACCATCTAATAAAAAATATGCTTGAGTTGCTCGAACTATATATAAGTTGTCACAGCAGTGAAAGCCCTTTCTGTGTTAAAGATAGCAAAGTCATTTAATTGAAGTCGTACTACTAGCGTCAATAAAAATGAAAGAAATTAAAGCTCCGTATGTTACTTTAATGGCAAAAAGCCATATCAGGAGATATTAGAATGAAGAAACATTCGTAAGGAACATGAAGAAAACGTTGTTTAAAACTTTTTTTCCATTAAGTAGCTTTTTGCTACCCAATATTTAGAAATATTCGGAGTTTCTTTAGAGTCCTTGAAAACTGCATTATTTTTCAGACACCGAATTTATACATCTTCTTGATATAATGGAAAACATGCGTCAGAATTGGAATGCGGAGAAATTAAGAGCCGATACTTTACAGGAACAGTTGAATACTCGAGAATATGATTACAAGTGAACAATCATTGTTTTTTTTCTCAAAAACGTGTTCTTACGAACTTTGATGAAAAGTTAAATCTAAAAGTACTAAAACATTTCTGTACACACAAAAGTTTTCAGTTTGAGGAAGAATAGAATAAAAATCCATAAATTGCCTACATCAAATTCACTTTTATGGAAGTAATTGATCTGTTCAATCATCGTTGGTTGATGAGTTGAGTATAACAATTTTAGTTAGGTGTTTGCTGAAGTTTATAACTCACTGAAATATACATCACATTAAAAAAATTTTTTTCTCAATTTTCTCTTAATTTTTTTTGTTTAATATTTTTTATAATTTTAAACCTGATGTGTATAAGTTCTCGTCACCAGACATAACTACATAACATCTGAGACTTATTAAATCTTCAGAATATTTAGAAAAATTGGAAATAAACGGATAAACTGAAGGAAAAATGAATAAAAATTTTTGAAACCAGATTGAAAATGCCAGGAAATCAGGAAATCTGAAAAAAAACAGCTAAATCAGGGATAAGAAGTATTTTAAAAATTATACTTCGTGAAGCGGATATAGTCATAAAAACAGTTTATGCTCAATTTCGATTCGTATCTTTCGAATTTGTATGAAGTGTATGAATTATTAAACTTTAGGTGAACTTATGTTTCATCATTTCCAGTGGATTGCGACAGGAAAATCGGATATATAAAGAACAACTTCGGGATGCACGCGCTCAGATTGCCACACTGATGTCCGATAAACAAAACTTAGAGCGTGATATGGTTGAACTGGAAAGAAAATTTGCATTAGTCAATGAACTACTGAAGGTTTAAACTGAAGTTTGCATCCGTTGAGGAAATTCAGAAATGTGTTCTTCACTTGTTTTCATTAAAGTCGAAATTATTGTTTTAGAATGACCAGTCATTGCTGAAACAGGAAGACCGGCAGAAACTATCATTTTTGAACTACAAATTATCATCTCGTGGGCCAATTATGACAGAAGGACAAACATGTCATGTACGTCGTAATGTTTCACGTACACTTTCACGTGGCGAAGAGACTGATTATGACAAGACAGGTGACTCTATGGACATTTCGTACGATGATTCTGATGAATCGCATTTACGAAATGGTAAAGTGTATAGAAGGTGAGAAAATCTTTTAAAGTCTTGATTTCTACTTTCTATTTTACTTTTTGGTAGCTGTGCTCTTACTGAAGTATACTTTTTAGATCACGAAGTTTAGCTGTTCTGCCAAACACTCATAATTCTGTAGCTACCATAAAGCGTTCTAAAGAATCTAGAAAAATGAATATTGTTGAGGAAGAAATGGCAAGTTCTAAAAGCTTCAATTTTTTTTCTGTGATAATACAATGTAAATGTAGTTGTTGTTATCGAAAGCGATACTCTGTCGTTTATTTTGGTATCTCTGGATGTGAATTGTAAGGATGTTGTGAAATTGACAATTCAGATCAATATACCAAAAAAAGACTTGTGCTAGTTTCGCCCTGTTTATTTTCCTTCATTCTGTAGTATGCAATTGCATTAATTTATTGTTTCATGTTTCTCACATAACTTTTAAGGACACTCCATGCAAACGATCAAAAGATGGAACTGAAACAATCATTACAACTACAACAATAACTGTGGATCCAGATGGAAGAAAACCATCAACACCTGGTGTCTCACTCCGACGTTCTAATCGGTCAATGTCAGAGTCAAATATTCTAAATGTTTGTTTAAATCTTTATTTTTGTAAATACTTTATTGTTATGTTTTGCACAAGCCTCACTTCATAATGTACTTTTTCTCTTACATAACTTCTTCAGCTTTCACTTGTGATTGTTGACTGGAAGAGATTATTAAGTTTCGAATCTGTATGCTTTCAGCAAAACGAAGAAACCATAGCTGAATCGACGATTAAATTTAATGAAGTCACACCACGATGTGGAGCCAGTGCTCTCGATCTGTAAGGATTTTTATTCTCTCAATTACAAATGCATAAGAGCAAGCATCTGCTCGTTTGTTAGCACGAATAAGCATGTTTTTTCTTATTTTATCGTCAAATCATATCTAACGTTTCGTATACTGTTGCAGTTTTAGTGAATAGTAATTAGAAGTTTGGATTTTTAAAAGGGAATCCATTCATCTAAATCAAAGTTCTTTCTCGGCTAAATTGAACACTCAACATCCAGATACCAAAATAAAGCAAGCTTGTTCGTTAAAATAGGAAGTGTTTTAAAGGACAACAATTTTAATTTAACGTCAGTTTTATGTCAGTATTAGACCCAATTTACTGCATGCACAGGAAATATTTTTAAAAGTTCTAAGCAGAAGGATTCTCAGGCATAGTCCGAAATATCATAGTGCATGCTTTGTGATAAAAGTTGTGAGATTTAATGGAAGCATGTGTTTTATCATAATATAAGGATATCTGAGTAAGAATGCCAAATCCAATAAAAGTCAGATCAAATTACGTGCAAATAATGTATTGCTTCAAATTTGATTCTTAATCTAAGTTTCTGGTAATAGATTGAAAATATCGATAGAATGCAACACTCGTAGTATTCTGCATTTGTTATCTCAGTATCAATCATTTTGTTTGGCAGAAAAATGGCATATACTATTGTAATCACGCTTGAAGTCTTGTATGAGTAGAATGACAGTATTTTTCATGCACTTTATAATTTGTTTGTATTTACTCGCAAAATTTGATTTTATCCAAATAAGCTATTCTTTTTTGACATCACGATGTTGATATTTGATAATTAATTTTCTGTATGCTTATTTTTGAAACTTCAGTAACAGCTTTATTGGGCGAAATCGGTGCGGTTTTTTGAAAATCGGTGAAAGTTTGGTAGTTTAGGTTGATTTTTGAGAAAAAGGCACCATTTTACTAAAATTTCATTGAGAAAATTGGGTGGTTAAATGACGTTTGAAAATTGAAAAAAAGTAGCAAACAAAAAAAATGATCTTTTTTTAACAGTATCGATTTATTTTTATTTGAAACAATGCAATGTCCTGCTTGCACACACTTTTCTCGTGTTGTTGGGATTATTTGGTTTTCAGAACTTTCCAAATACGAATTTTGATTGCATCAACTTTTGTCTGAAAATTTAGACACACTTCATTTACTACTGTAAAAACTTGGACTAATGGTTCTTCAATCGAAACTCGACCACATACTTTTGCCAATTTCACATCGATTCTTGGTGATCGATGTGAGGTATGCAACCGTTGGATTGGGCTCGCTGGAAAAGCAGCTTACAAATGTACAGGTAAGCGAAAATTAATTTTTCATTTAAAAGGAATAAATTCTGAAAAAACAATCATTTGATTTTGATTTTTTATAAAATTTTTTTGTGAAACATTGTCCAGTTAGTTCATTTACTTTACAAGCATCTATATTGACTAAGATTTTAACAGTTCCGGATCTTCTTCTGTTTTGATATTTTTCCCATAATGTATTCAGATTGTGGCATTCGTTTACATAAACTGTGCACAAGAAATGCTCCGATTCCCTGTGTGCCTCGAACAGCAACACCTCGAACTCCTGGAAAGCAACGTCCTCGGCTGAAAGATTTCTGTCCATCAGTTCAGCCGATGATTCCATCTCTCATCATACATTGCGTCTTGGCTTTAGATAAGGATCGTTTAAGTACAGAAGGCATTTATCGAATTCCCGGGTAAGATTTCTTTCATGTTTTACGATTGCGTTTTAATAATGAAAATGGTAAAATTATGGCGAAGTATACGATTATAGTTTTGCGATCATAGTTTTCTGCATAAAGTGAATTAATACTGTTGTTGATTTAATAACTTCTATTTCTTTCAGTAATTGAAAATTTTTTCTTCTAGACAGGAATCGCAAATTGTTAAACTGCTAAATGAATTCAAAAACGGTCGCTCGCTGCCAAAATTAGAATATCACGACACAGAGACAATCACTGGCTGCATAAAACGTTTCCTAAGGGAAATAAGGGTTAGTTGATCAAATTTTATAAATTTGAATCAGACGTCATATTGATAGTTTCGAACATATTTTTTTTAGGATCCAGTAATTCCGATGTCGTCTTGGGATGAATTTGTAAGTGCCGCTGAACGAGATGACCTCGAGGCTTTGAAACGCTCAGTGATGGATTTACCCTTTCCAAACAGAGACACTCTCGCATTTCTTTGCTCTCATTTTCAACGAGTTTGTGTTCTTTTTATAACTTTGATATTTTATTTATTTTTTTAGAAAGATTTAAAGAATTTTTATCAGGTTTGCGATAATCGTTCACGAAACAAAATGTCGCCAGAAGTTCTGGCTCGTTGTATTGCTCCAACAATTATTGGCCACCCTCCGCTACGTGCCACAACTATAACACAGAACACTGATGATGTAGCAAAACAAGTAATTTCTGGTTTTATAAATGTTTTTGTTGGAAAGCATTTTTGTTTTGTTGGGAAGTGTTCAATACATGTAAAGTTTTGAAGTTGTTGACATTTGTGAAAAAAATGCTCGTTTCAGATTATGGTACTATTGGCTTTGCTTAAAATGCCACGAGATTACTGGCCAAAATTTTATGTATTTGGTCAGGAAAAACCTCTGCTTAAAACTCCCACACGGTAAGCATATAATATTTGAAAGAATAAGATATATTAAATTTTGAAGCGGAGTTTTACATAATGTAATAATAATAATAACTTATGTATCCTTCGTTTAATTAAATGGACAGCTGATTTTGCAGCAAGGAAAAATGGAAATAGTTAACCTTTTAACTCGCAGCATTACATGTTCTGGTGTATTGCACATTAGCTTGGTTAATATTTTGAAATATCTAAAATTAATGTGAGAAATTATGAAATTTTGCAGTGGATCAATTGCAATACTTACTTGCAGTAAGGAAAGTAAGACTCCAGTCCAATCTTCATTTAAAGTGTCGAGTAACAGTGGCCGAAAGGATCCGAATAAGTCGATGTTAGGACCAGTTCAAACGCCACCAACTGGAAAACAACCAAGAGAATTTCAGCCTTTGTGGAGTAAACGTGGGAAGGTTGTTGCTGATTTATACTAATTTCTGACCTATTAAGAATACTAGGACGATTAATTTACTAGCACTATTATCGAATATGTAACAAAATGGATTAAAGTCACTTCATTTGAAGCAATCGAAAATGTAATATCTTTTGACTGCAAAGTTCCTATAAAAAAATTGTACTTATGATTGTAACTTCGCGAGAGTCACTTCCAAATTGTTTAAATATCTTCCTCTCACGAAATTAAATAACTCTGTCGCTTTTTTGTTTCCCGTATTCAATACTAGGAAGTGCGCTCTTGATTCTGTTCGATGTATGCCAACACTTTTTTTAACAGTTAATTACTTGTTTTGTAGATAGGCACTTTGTAAATTTTTAGTATTCGTAATTCCATGATTGTGCTCACTTTGTAGTTTGATTTTATTTTAAACCACACATCAGAGGTAAAATCCTAACGAATTAGAGATAAGTTTTTTCCTAATGAACTTTTAGATTTTTCACAATATCTTTTGACAGACTTATTCCCCATCGCTATATCTTTTTTTTACATTGTTATGGCTTTCGTCCTTCTTTTGCGTATTTCTATGCAGTATTATCTTGAAAAATAAGTATAATTGCAAAATTAAAAAAATGGGATTGGAAATTTTATATACTACATGCCCTGTAATTTAAATTATATAGCATTTTTGCCAGTTCTTTTCCAAATTTTACTTGATATCTCTTTCTGTACTGAATTGTTATCTAAAGCAATATTTATGTTTATATCTCTACAATCTGTTGATCTGTTTGTAAAAGTCTTTAGATGTTAATTCAAATTTTGACTATATCTGAGTGTGAATATAAGAAATAGAGGCGGGTCTGAAGGATATGCAAAGGTCATTGCTCATTAAAGGAATATGAAGTCATGCGTGTGTATGTATGTGTGTCGAAAAGAATGCTAGTAGTAAAGTCTGATAAAATGCAATACTTCTTTCGATGTTTTACTAACAAATATGAAGTGCTCTCTGTTGAATTAATGTTATTGATTCGAATGGTTTGATTCACTTTATTTAATTTTAATGCGTTTGACGTCATGTAAGTAACCACTTTTCATTAAGCTAGTTGGTATAGGTAGTACAAAAATTTAGTTTACTTACATCTCGGCCACAGCCGTCCGGATAACCCGTAGCGTTTGAAAAATGTATGCTATGAAACAAATTAAAATGAAACATACGATGGAATACATTTGCAAATTCTTCCTTTTCATTCCGTCTAATTCTAATCCTTAGATTAAGATTCAAGCAAATCTATATTTTGAAACACATAACAATATTTTCAACAGTAAAATTCTTCCGGAAGGTTTGCGAAGGAGTTACTTCGTTAGCATGTGGTCGTTGCACAGTAAAAATCGGTGCATACTTTGGTAATAAGGACATGAACGGCTGAATGATTTGGAAAAAAAAAAGATTTAGCAATGCGTATCTAAAATACACGAAGCGAAAACTATTTAGAACCAACTGAATGAAATTGTGACTATGTAGTATAAAGAAATTGAAAACTCCACTCGAAACCCTTTGTAAGAGTAACGAGAACTGTTTAGCTCTAGAGCAAAGCATGGTGAGCCCTAAAAGGAAGTATTGAATTTGTCGAGGATTCATTAGAAACTTGGTAGCAGGCAAATGTATGTTAGAATAGTCGAAGATAATAAAACATTCATTTATTAACAATGTGTCCGAAATGTCAGAAAAAGTAGGTGACAGGGATTGATGTTAAATCTTTGATTAACAATAAAATGAGCAATGAGACATAAAAACCAGTCTAAAAGTCTGACAGAGACATACAAACGATATATAGTGGTAATGATAACAATAATAAAGACACAATCCGATTTTAGCTAGTATAAATTTAAACAGTAAAGTTACCCATTTCATGAAAGCACGTTAACGTCCCAGAAATAGTACTAAATTCACGTCCATCTATCGTGCTTTGTTTGTGAATTTCTGGCTGAAAAGATTTGTAAGATTAGAAATAATTTGGGAAAAAGACAACAAAATGAAAGATTAAAGAAAGTTAGAACTTACCATGTTTGCGCAAGAGGTTATTCCCTTTGTTGATATATTCTTATGATCCGATTTTCGATACGAAATTTCACAATTCGTTTGATATATCATACTTTGTTTAGCAAAGCTTAAAGCATCACTGACTTTGTAATTCAATTCCTCCACACTGTTGTCATTTATATAGAAAACCAAATCTTCTAAAGTTCAATACTTCTAAAGTTCAATACTTTTCAAAACTTCTTTTTCAAGCCATTACTTAATAAACTCCTATTACACGGCAATTTCAGCTACTTTTATTTAACACAAAAATTATCATTTCTAAGCACATATTTTAAGAGACATTTTGGCTCAAGAAACTTGGAATTTTTTAGAGAAAAAACTTTAAGAATTATCAATTAGTTCTGTTTTATTGCAGGAAAAATAAAAAACGGTTGTCGCCCATGGTGCCAATGAAATCACTAACCAATCGAATATCTTTAACAAGTAATGCGTTAAAATATTTTGTGTATTCGAAACGATCACATGACAAAATTTCCCCTGATATATTTGCTGATGCTGCTATTTCTATGATATCATGCTCATTCTCACTGGCGGATTCATCAACTAAAATATGACAAAAGTTATGGAAACTTTTTTAATCTTTTTGATATGTCCATAAAATATATATTGGTCAATGCCATATTTACATAAAATGTCATGAATTTGTGTGTTCAAATCTAAAACACTGGAAGAGTTCTGTCATATAATTCTTCGCCTTGACTTATTTCTGGAAGAAAACTATAGCTATACACCTAACTATTAAAAATTTCTATTTAGTATTAACTATTTAATAATTTTTATTTAATAAAGAAAACTATAGCTATTAAAAACAAACAAAATTTGCTGCACAAGATGCATATAGCGGAATGCTGACATCTAAATAAAAAACTTCCAGATCAAATTTGACTCTTCTCGTTCTAGTTTAAGTATCTCCTCTCGTGACCTAAACGTTCTAAAATATATTCAACACTAATTGCGCCATTTTCTTCAGCTCTAACATTCATGATACAGGTGCAATGACTGATCACTTTCTTCGTCCCATGTCACATCCTCCTTGAAAGCGAATCCGCAAGATGTCTTGCTCTGCCCCCCCCCCTGAAATGAAATTATTCCAAAATAATCTAACAATTTATTTTAAAGCAGAACTAATAATCAAAATCATCAAATTAAATAAACCATTACACATTAAATGAATAAATTCAACGAGAGAAATTCAAAGAAAAACAAACATTTAAAAACTAATAAAAGCATAAATACACTCAATGCGAAGCCAAAAACAGCCCATCACAATTTTATAACAAAACAATGACGATGAGTTACAGTACAAAAAGAACTCGTAAAAGTCAAATCTCGAGGAATCATATATTATCCCAATGTATACTTCACATCCTATCATAAGAAGAGTTCCTAGAAATAATTTATATTTTCCATTAAAATTCCCGATCAAACATAACTTACATTTCACACCGCATTTATGTGCACTTATCCTTAACAGAAATAGTTGTTATCACATCATCTGTTCCCATTTTGATGTATTGCATGAAATCATCAAACTCGTCGCGACTTCGAAAACTTTGCGATTGTAATTCAAAATTCTGCCCTTCAATTTTGTGAACATCGAGAGCATGTTTGGTCAAATTCTTTACCGTATGGAATCTTTCACAACATCCACGACATTTTACTGATTTTTGTCGTGGTTGGAAATGAATTTGCTCAAAATGTATCAGATGATGTCAAAAAATTGTGGGTACTAAAGAAAAAATTTTAAAAAGAATTTGTTATGGAGAAATTTTTATTAAAAATTTTTTGAATATAAGATGAAAATATTTGATAAATCTCCCCTGAAAAAAAAATGCCACTTTTACAGAATGATATTTAGCTTTGTGAAAAAGTAGGCCTTGTCGACTAGTTCCATTCCACTCACATCCATCAACGTCACAGCGGAATTTCTTCCTATTGTCAACTTTGATAATTTCAACGTTATGCATCATTTTCATGTGACGTGAAAACGATCAAATAGTCAAAAATTGCCTGTTTGCAAAGTTTACTTCGCAACATATTTGAATTCTTTTCTCGCGTTAACACTATACTTTAATTGAAATCTTAACAAACAAAGACTATAATTTCACTTAATGCAGCAGATTCATATTCTCATGAAAAAACTTACTGTTTATTTTCAAAATGTCAAGTTCGAGCTACTTCAATTTTAAAATTTGATATCCCAGCTACTGTTGAAAAAAGGTATGGGTGGCTACTGAACGGATTTAGTACCAGAAATATTAGAGAAAAGAAAAAATAATTTTACGAAGCTTGCTGAGAACGTACTTTTCAAATATTTTGCCGTGCTTGATCCATACTGTTACCTCTCCGATTGCTATACTCAATAACCGATGTGTTCACTTTTGGAAGGATAATGCCCGATCAAATAATGCTCATGACACTTGCACGGTATCAAATGTGTCGATACTCAATCTTGTACATATCCTAATGATTTTTCTTCTTCCCATTTAATTTTTCCCATTTTTTTTTTTTAAAAAAGCAAGTTTTTAAAAATGCTACATAAACGTCGACATGAAAAAGGCGACTGAGTATAAAAATACGTAAAAGTGGAAAAGCAAATTGACAAACAGTACGCAACATTCTAAATTCAGTTCAAAAGTAGAAAAAAAGTCCAACTGCACTAACTTTTCTAATTTATACTCCACAACACAATTTCTGCCTTCGTGAAGCTTTGTAGAAGACAACTATCAAATCCAACATACCCACGTCGATAACTGACAAAATGCTTTCCATAATATTCTACTTGTACTTCAACGCAAATTTCAGCAAATTTGCTAAACCGTTCTTCATGAGCAAGCATTGTACCCAGGTCTCTACAAATTCGGAGTGTCAGAAACATAACCTTATTACTTATTACTACTAATAACACACTAGTATACTTCGCAGAAAGATTCCAAAACTCCCGCCATTGAAATCACTATAAACTATTAACACTAAAGATCATTTTTAAAACCGACAATCACCATGAACGAAATTATACCTAAAACTGTAAGACAGTGGAAAATTCAAGTGCAATACTCCAGGAAAAATGTGCTAATATGTCATTGAGCAACGGAGAAGTGGATAATTTCTAAAGCATCCAACGACAAACGAATTCTATGTCAAAAGAAGCAGCTCTTGAAAGAGCTTTAGACAAATGTTAAAACGAAAAGTCTATGAAATCCAGCACGCCTACCGAATGCAGTAGCACAAGTGCAAATCCCCTCACACTAAGCCAGAATGACAGCAATGACAGTCGTTTGAATATAGTTTTACTAATGCGTTATTTCTGACTAAATATTGCCATTTGGTAACATTTAACAAAAAATTTATTGATACTTAAATAGAACAACAAAAAACACGAACAAAAATTTCATTTCACACTTTCATTCTTTAGCTTCTCGTAAACGCCTAATGGTACTTCTCACGGTGGCTGCTGCAGTTGTGCTGTAGACGTAAGCACCACCAGCAACTACCTTATTACATTTTGAGCATTTCCAAATGCCAACACATTTCCGCTTCATCGATTCCTTTCCACAGAAAGCACATGTATATTTAGAATGTTGAGTTACCTAAAATACTCAAATGCCAGTAGAAAGAGTATAATTGTTGATATGGCAATTAACATTATTAAAACTGCTATCAAGCTAACAGAGATAAAATAAAAATCCCTGAAGAGTTCCTGGAAGAATTAGCAATACTATACGTGATGCCTAAACGAAATCAGAATCAAATTTAGTATCAGAAAAAAGTATCAATATATAATCACACAGACAATGCATTATAGCTATCAGTTAATATGAAAACATTTTAATCTATCTGCTCACACCAACACATACAATCCTAACAACTTTATTCTTGCTCACTGGAATGATTTGACAACAGTTCAAATAATCAAAAAGAATACCTCCATCTTTTTAACAGTCTTCCTCAGTGAAGCACCATAGCGAGTTCCATACTTTCCCACTATGCCAACCTTCTTCGTTCGCTTAGCCATTTCAACAATCTCTGAAATGAAAACCACCGCTTCTTAGCCATCTAATTGACCTAACAGTCAAACTCTACGTCCAATGATTAATCCTATTGGAGGAAAACAAAATTCCCCGCCCCGCACTACAATTATTCATCCCATACGACTTGCCAAATCCGCCATCACCACTCCCCCCGACGCAAAATATCGAAAAAACATGTTCTCAAGCCTACCGCTGTGTCACCAGACCATTCTTGAACACTATGAAAACTGTAGATTCATCCTCACTCCTTCTCCATTCCATCATTTAGGTGGTAGGACAGCTTCAAACATATATCTTTCGGGCAATTATTAAGATGTGACGTCTTTCATAGTGATTATTTTTTATCGTAATGACATAACAGATTACGAGTGACAAAATTAATGAGTCAAATTGAATTTTTACATGAACAAGAAACAGAATGAATACCCTTTGAAAGGGATATACTTAGTAAGTGTTGCATTTCATTAATCGACAAATTTATTTTAAAAAAATTAACGACTTTTCAATCTAGACCCATAGATTATAAATCAAGACAAACTGGAATGAAATAATAGTTCGAACAGTTTATTAGGGTTTTGGGAGTAAGGAATTGAACGATGAAAAAATTGATTGCAACAACATGAAAAGCACGAAACGTATCTTCATGAATTGAATGGAAATTCTTCAAGGAAATAGATATCATAACAAGAACGATAACTGCTCCTCAACTTCAGTTACTGACAATATTTTTTTCTTAAATTAAAGAGTAAAAACTATAATGACATAGTTGCATGCTGAGTGACTTTTGCACATAACTTCAATATCATGCATTTATCATTATCATTTAAGCAGTTAATGGTTCAATTATGGAAATAGAGATAATAAAGAACTCAAAGAAATGTAAACAACATTAGCAAAGTAAAAAAGTTTACTTCTCAACCGATTTTATTGGCCGCTGTGTTGAATAGCGTTTACCAAGACGTATCTTCGATTTCGCATTACTTTGATCTGCGCTGTTTGTATCACTCTTTCTTTCTGCTTCTTTACCTAAATGCTAACGTATGGAAATACTTTCCTGAACATCTGGTAGCTAAGCATGTTTCATTTTTCTGATCGAATTATTAACTGGATTCAAAACTGATACACTAAAATGGTATGTCTTACACAGTGCACAAAACGGCTAACACCTAAATATTTATCAATGTTTGAGTCATTATTGATAAAAAAAAGAAAAGGACAAATTCAGTAATCATCTAATTAATCTTAAAAGCTGAAAACTAACATATTAATAAACATGTCTTCTACTCGTTTTATTGGACCCCATCAAATGGATTTAAGCGTTTATTCCTGACACTAACCTTCAATTAACTCTTGATTTTTCCAATCACTATAATCAGTTGTTTTACCAGTTGCTAGCAAGCGACTGTCGCTTCTTCGCTTTTCTAGACTTTTCTTTTTGTATTTATCATCACTCCCATGACCATGAACTATAAAACAATTACATTAGATAATAGTGCTAGGAAATGTATCTAATACCGATTCAAATCAAACCAATACTTGCATCCACTCAATTAAGGTCAATATATATATAAGTATATATATATTTTTTAAAATTATTGTTTTAGATATAAAAAAAACAATAAAAACATACTCCTGTGCGTTTTTGTAGAACGACGTGTTGCGTTTGTTGGTGTCCAGCTCCTAATCTGCTTCGTACTACGTTTATCCCGCTGGGAAGCCGAAAACAATTCCTGTAAAAATTTTAAAATGAAGATTTGCCCTTGAAATAATTCTGACGAGAAGAACCTAACAAAACAGTTAAAAGTAAACGTAGAAACCTCGGAAAAAATCTGTTTTTTTCTCACTGAAATTATCTTGTTTCAATCATTTAAGCAGTTTCTAATAGATTTTTTACTTGCATGGACTGTATAAGCTTACTGAAGAGACAGGATTTCCTTCCCGATCTACACCGTATTTCTTGGCAAATTCTCGATCGGACAATGGTATCTGATCAGTCTCATTATATAAATCATGTCTCCACTTGCAATCAGCACGCGACAACGGATATAGCGTAGTTTTCTCACCAGTTTCACGAGTATCATGCATGAAAAATTGTCCTATGCGCGGAATGTATGCAGGATGTGCTTGATCCTGATCCTGATCAGGTCCAGACATTTCCTCGTCCTAAAAAAAATCAATACTAATAAGATTAGAGAATACGGATAACATATCACTATATCCCTACGCGCATTCTTGTTTTTTTTTTCTTATTTTTATTTACATTTATTAAGCTCTCTTTTGTTGTTTAGTGCATTCTTCTGCGCACTTCATCTGTTGTTATAAACAAATGTGTGTATTGAGAGGGTTGCGGACACCTTCTCAAAGCCAATGACAAATTTCCCATGAGATCTACATTTGCCATGTACAACAAATCAATCAAATGGTTGCCATCTATAACATTGCGGCTTACAGTATCCCATTTCATTATAGAATTTTTTTTAAGAGAAAAATCTCCTTTCATTATTAGTGTCAAGAAATTGAAGAAGAATCAAACAGAAACAAGCTATCGCTTGTCATACAAGAGGTGAACATAAGCAGGAAGTTCGATAACATTAGACGATGAAGATATTACTGTACGTTCAAACAGTTAAGGGAAAATAACTTTTAATCTTTATAGAGGTCATCAAAAACGGACCAGCTCGGAGAATTGATGTGAATTATATTTGAGATTAATCGTGCAAAGTCTTTTGGAGGATATTGCCATGCCATGGGAAATTTATAAAACTGGAAATGTCAAGCTTACATCATCGAGGTTTTTTGATTGTTCAATATTCGCAGCTTCGCCTCCTGGAGAAATATTCAGATATTCACTTTTATAAATATTCACTGCTTCGTCCTTTAAGTTTCTTGATTGTTTATCATCAGTAATTTTCATTTCCGAAATTGTATCAGTGATATCCAATATCTCCGGATCTTCCTCCATTACCAATTGTACTTCTACTGTTGTTCTCGTTTCCATTTCAAAATAATTTGAAATTGATAGTTTTTAGATGTTTTTTAATATTACAAATAAAAAACTTCCTTTTCACCGCTGTATTAAAATTTTTTTAATCAGCCCTACGAGTATATTATTAAATCAGGTCCCTGAGTTAGATATAAGGTTAAAGTTCATCCATCGATGCACAAATCTGGTATAAAGTATGTACGAATAACTTATAACAATTTAACTCCAACATTTCATACCTTCAACTTTCAACTCTAACTCAATAAAAAATATAGGATCGAAATAGAAAAAAGTCTTCAGACTGAATTATCTATGTGATATGAAGATTAGGAAGCATTTAAAGATCTCCAGATCAAATTTACTCCAGATCGGTTACGTGATTTCACTCTCGTGATCTACCTGATAAAACGCTTGCAAGATCGTACTAAAAGTATTTATCCCTTGTTTTCGTGCAGTAACAGTATCAAAATTGTAGTTAGTTCAAAAATAAAAGCTCGCACAAATAAATCACAATTAAAATTAATTATGGTGAAGAAATTAAAATCAAAATTTGTATAGTGAAAACCAGTGAAAAGTTCACTTAATTCGTTCTAGCAACTAAATCCTTAGAATATTTCCATCCCTAACACCGTACCCCATGACCGCTCCCTTATTTCTACCGTATAGCACATATCCACACTCTACTCAGCAAATAATTCGTGCAACTCATTAGACGAGCGGCATTACAACTTAAAAATGCATCGAAGAATGTTCAAAAAATAGCATATGTTTGATGGATACATCAACACAGAAATAAATAATGTAATCTGTATTCTCTTATTGTTTTAATGGAATAGAAATAGAAAGTACACGTAAGCACGTAAGCATGGAAATGTTTGCAACTGACACATACGAGCAATAAGGATATGAAAGGAACAATGAAAGTAGCAGGGAAGTGCTGAAATCCAATTTATAGACAGTCTACGTGCGATTGTGAAATAATAGCGTGTAGAAAGTAAGATGAATAGATTAAATGATTGATTATGGACATATGGAAGAGAATGGAGAAGGAGTACGTGGTATGGTGAGAGAAGAATAGAGAGTGAATACGTAACATGCGTAAGGAGAGCTAGAGAATAAGTAGGTGAAGTGCATGAGAAGAGTTAGAGAATAAGTATGATAGGTAATAAGAGCTAGAGAATAGGTACGTGATATGCGTGGAAAGAATTGACTAATAAGGATGGATATGAGAGGGACATTTGTCCAATAATAGCAGCAGGAATCAATTTATAGATGGTGCACGTGCTATGGTGAAACGATGTATGGATGTTTTAGTATTATTTCGATTGAAATCTTTGAAAATCAAACATGTTAAAAGGTAATCCTAATTGTTATTTCAGTATAATGGCAGCAGAAGAGCAATGTATAACTGAAAACAATGATAATGATCTGATTATTTGTCATCGCTACCGGTTGGTACATAAAATAGGCAATGGTACCTTTGGAACAGTACTGTTAGGTAACTTTCTCTTATAGATCGTTTATTTTTATCATTGTTATTGCCAATTTCTTATTCAATTCCGCAACTATACTTTGATTGTACTACTTTTTCTGGAGCCTGAGTGCTATCCAGAATGTAAAAATGGATTTTTGAAGATAGTACGAATGCTTACGAGAAATAGAAAGAAAGTTTGATTATTCCTAAGAATTTTATGCAATTTAGAATACATTATTGGAATCCTTTTTTTTTGTTCACTTCTTTATAGATGTTTTTTGGAATAATCTTTAGCATTCAAATTACAGGAATTGATTTGTACGATCATAGTGAAGTTGCAATGAAGCTGGAAACGAAAGCTCGAAACAATACATTGTTGCACGAATATCACATTTACAAAAATTTTAAAGAAGAAATAGGATTTCCAAAAGTAAAAGATTAATGTTGTTTTTGACTGAAGAAGATCTGTGCTTTATTATTTTTAAACAATTCTGTTATTATCGTCCAGTTGTTCAGGTTCGGTGGTGTGGTAATCAAGGTGACTTCAACATATTGGTAATGGAATTGCTAGGTCCTTCGTTGGAAGATCTGTTCAATTTTTGCAGTCGTATTTTCAGTCTAAAAACGGTATTACTTCTAGCAGATCAGCTGGTATGCACTTTAATTTTTGATCATTCTTAAAAAGTGAAGTTTTATCCTTTTATCAAAAATATAGTAAAGTATATTACAAGAACTATCTCTTAAATCCACTGATGCAGTTTGGAAGTAAAGAATTCGATTATATTTTAATTATGTTTTTTTATAAACATTATATTTTAATTATTTTAGTCCTTCAAGATTGCATTGTTGACAGTAAAATGTCAGCAACGTATTTAATTTCTATATATTACTGCGGGAGGAACATAAAGTCTTTAATTATTGAATTAACTATTTAGTTTTTCTCTATTAACATATTTTAGCTTTCAAGGTTGCAAGCGTTACATCTGGCAGGCATTATTCATCGAGATATCAAACCTGACAACTTTGCTATGGGTCTTGGTACAAAACATAACATCGTTCATGTAAGGAATCTAATTAATTAATATTCAATGTTGAACATTACCCATCATCAGTTGATAATTGGCGATGCTGATAACAGTCCAAAAATTGTTGGTATTTGTTTAGTTAATAGATATGGGTCTGTGTGAGAAATATTTGATCCCGGAAGAATCAGAAGTTCACATGGAGAGTGAGAAAAAACATTCGTTCTGTGGTACCATACGTTTCGCCTCGCCAAATGCTCACCGTGGTTTTGGTAGAGATTTCAATTTTTTTTACCGGTAACGAATAAATGATAATTCTAATCATTTCCTAATTGCCGCAAGTACGAGAAATGGAGTGGTAAGCTTGAAGCAGTCTTGCAGTTGTTCGTCAATAAGAGACCAGAAAAGAGTGTAATCGTATTGTAGTTGTTGTCTGTGCTATTTGTTAGTATCATTTATAAACAATCCTGATCAGAATTGCTTTTTACTGTTAGTACGTGCATAATTAAATTGTCAGACTTAGTTAGAAATTAGATGAAAAAAATACAAGTATTTTTTGGAATAGTTTCATAAAAATATCTTTTTTTCAGTAAATAAATTGATCTATATTTAAAAATTTTTCAGCGTTAAGTCCTCGTGATGATTTGATTTCGTTAGCATACACTCTTATCTACTTTCTCAAAGGTGAACTACCATGGTTTAAGTACAAAACTCATTCGAAAGAAAAATATATGGAACTCGCTGGCCATTTAAAAAACCGACTGACCGTTGAGGAACTCTGCGATAATTGCCCGGGTAAGCAAAGATAATATTTTGCTTTTGAGGAATTTTTCACAGCATTACTTACTGTCAGCAAAGAATCGCGGGAATACGATTCAGTGCCTCACTTTCCAATTTTGCAGTTTTACATTTGGATAAAGTGTGCATATCAGTACTCAAAAAGAATGCCGTGCAACTATTTTCAATTTCTTATTCCATAATAGACTTTCATTGATGATTTTTAAAAATTATTGTTATGATTATTACAAAAATCCTATAAATGTTAAAAATATCGCTTTTAGAAGAATTCAAAACATTTTTGAAGTATTGTTATGAGCTGAAGATCGATGAAACTCCAGATTATGGACGAATGAGGCAAATCTTTTGGATGTTGTTCGTCAAAAGGCAATTTATTCTTGATAACATGTTTGACTGGAACCTTTACAGGTACTGTTTGACGTACTGAACTTCCATTAAGATTACAATTCATCTTCACATGCTTAATTTTTGGAAATCTATCGAAGATGCTTGCTGCAGTAGCTACGTTGGTTGTGCATATCTTAGAATTTATTGTCACATCAGTCATTGCGTCAGAAATTCAGCGGCTTTATAGGATGTAAGATAGAAATTGTTCTCTTTTTAAATCGTCGAAAATTATGACACTTTTTAATTTGAAATTTTTTGAACTATATAGATATGCACGAAATCTGGAAAAAGAAACGGATGGTTCAGGTTAAGAAAGAAGCTAACGAAAAAAATTCAATAATCGCCTTCAATAGTCACTGCATTCAGCTGCATATCAGTATCTATTTTTGGAATAGTATGTGATTTGTTCGATTAGGAGGAGAAAGATTACTTCGATCAATAGGAAGAGTCATATATTATCTGCTTTAACTGGTATCAAATCAGGCTATATTTACCCATCTATCACTTAAAATGCCCTCTATATCAATCTCTCATCAGTTATTACTTGAAATTTTTGTATCACTTGAGCGTATACTAATGGCGAGCTAGTTTTTAAACTCTAATAGCTCAATACCATTCACTTTTTTAAGACTGAATTTATTACTGCATGTTTTGTTTATTTACACGATGAATGAACTGTATATTTAATTTGGAAAAATGTTGAAATTTTTGGGAAAAATATTTTCGTGCATTAGAGATAAAGATTTGAATGTTCTTTTTAATAAAATATATCTGATAGATATTAAAGGAAATATTGTTGTAGAAAATGTATTTGTCATTTTACATTATTTATTTCCTTTAAAATATCGATAAAGGAGAAAAGCACACTTATCAGTTCTGTTGATCTTTGACTAGGTTCAAGATTTTTATTTTACCATATTGCTGAATACTCAAAAGCACCAAGTTTTATCATGTTTGCATTTATTATCAAACAAGAGAATGAGTAATGTATCCAGTTCACCACGCAGTGGACTAAAACGCTTTGGTTCATGTATCGTACGCGGTAATATTAGACGCATATTACGCCTGGACATGTGCTCTTCATAAGCTGATCGTAGGATATTCCTCAATTGATTGTTCATGCAATGGCTACACAGTCAACATTTCTGGAAATGATTTGATTCAAGGTTTGCTTATCATTTCTTGGTCAAAAATCTTCTAATTCTTCAATTTATTAATGCATCAAATTGATGATAGTAATAGTATCAATGCGGAATCGTGCATATTGTTAGAAACAAGAAGTATGCTCTGAACTATACTAATCGAATAGGCCAAATTGTGTGAGAGCTTGATAATTGGGTAATTATGCTGGTTTTGCAAATTACATACGAGTTCTTTTTTGCAGCCATTTCTGCCGAAACATTTGGAGCTGTTGCTGAAACAAACATTATTGAACACTTGAAGGTCGCGATCTGAGACGAGCATTTCTCGATTAGTTTTATCCTTACTGAAATATGATTTATTTCTTGATTTCATTGAAAGGTTTATTTATTTACTTTAACAAAATGCAGAACTTTATTCTAATCGTCCTCCATACAAAAGATAATAGAATTAATTCAAACATAATTAGTTCAAGAAATTTAATATATTTCGCAAGCATGAGTTCGGAAAATTTATTGCACGAAAAGTGATAATTTTCACTTACAAACGATTTTCAGGGGATATTCCATGTAAGTGTGACGCAATGCCAACCAATGAGAGTGCATTAATGATTACTTGCTCATAAAGCAGTTTATTTAATATAAAATGCCCTGATGATAAGTTTGGCGACATCGCCTAGAAGAGAATAATTTTTACTTTTACTGTTTAATCTATAATTTGGAATTATCCATGAATTTAAATTTCAAGTCCAAAATCAACACGTTATTCGTTAATTTGTCATTTCTTAATTTCTTTTAAAGAAAATAGAAATTTACAGAACTAAAATACATCTAAGATTTTAAGACAAACAAGGAGAATAATTACCTCCATCAAATAAACATTCAGATCTTTATCAAGTGCGAAATCAAAGCGACTCAGTTCAAAGAATGGTCTGAATTGATTTGACGTTATCGAAAACGCTGGAGCATTTAGTCTGTTTCGCTATTTTCATTTTGTTAAGCCTTAAGTTTATTTTTAAACTTTCTTACCTTTTATCAGCAAAATTCGCTTCAGTAGCGAGCATTTTATTTTGCTGCGATTCGAAAACCCAAATTTTAGAATTCTTTTTTGAGGCTTACTTGTTCGTGTACGAGTTTTATATGATTCAAATTTAATTTAATGAGGATTGCATTAAATGCACTTTTCAGCACAATAAGTTTTGCGCTGAAAGGTTTTCTTAATGAGTTTTTTGTTTTGAATAGACTTTTTAATTATATTAAAATTTCTAGTGAATAATTAATAAGTCTTTTGTTCCAAATAAACTTTCGTTTTTTTTCAAACCACTTTACAGGACACATCAGAATAGAAGGGAGAATTGAATTTCCACCATTCTAAAATATTATTTCTTAAATCCTATTTCAGTTTCTTAAATTCCTCTCATTCGATCCTTGCTGCTATATTAAGCAGGAATCGATATTCTTTTTGGTTTTTTGAAATAAATTGAAGCAAGAATTGAATTTACAACAGCAATAATTTCTTTGATACGATTCCAAATTAAACTCAGATCTTTGCCTAGTTCGACAAGGTATGCATTGAAGGTATGTTGAAAAGTCATTTGTTGCTCAACGTAATACTTCTTTAATGGTGGCATCTGAAATTTGGCTCAGAATTGTGAATGGTTGAATTTTAAATGAAAAAATTTATTTGAGCTCATTACAGTTCAATTTTGATCATTGTTACCTGCCAAAGTGGTGTATAGTTGTCGCCGACAACATATTTATCAACATCATTGGCATCGAATGGTTCGTAATCTTTAGAACAAAAGCGTAGCAGCACATCTTCTTCATAAATGTATACAAGAAGCGGTAAAACCGATGTAATTACCGTATAAATACCGATGTCAAATTTACTGAATACAAAAAAGAAATTAATTGGTGACCTCGTAGGATTTGAACGGGAAAACTTTCTCCTATCGGGAAACTATCATTTAACACTATTTTTCATTTTCGTTATGAATCTAAACAGAATATCATCAGAATTTATAAACAAATATTACCAATTTTCGAGTTCCTAGAATTGGTTTATCTTCAAATAAGAAATTTTTTTTTCTGTTTTTTCAAGTTGAATGTATTTGGAAGGCTCTTACACATTACTTTTTCACATTGCTTTTTTGATAATCCGAAAATATTCATAGTATTTCTGTTGATATTACTAATGTTTTTATATTTCACCGATTATCGAAGAGAAATGGATGTGATATGTATTCTTGAATGAATGAATCGTTATCCAAAAGATTGAGCTCTTTGATGTTTTGGATTCTGATACCTCGATGCTCGTTATTTTTCTTTACCCATAATCTATCTGGATGAGTATTTGTATAATTTAAAAACTCATCTTTCTTTGCAGGTAAATCGAAAGCTTTCGGCATTCCCAATGTTAGGCCTGCTGTTGCAAGACTTACCTTAAACATGTACAGTTTAGAACTCTTAATTTTGATCTCTCAATCCTTTTCAAAACTTAATTTCTTTCAACTCTTATAAGACGAGAAACAATTATCTCTCATGGAATTTAACTTATGAGATGAAGTCAAATTTTCAAAGTTTTAGAACTTGCCTTGCTTGTATAATATTTTGATCCAGGAATATGATTCACTTTTTGATAAGGCTGCAATTTGGTCAAATATAAACTGAACAGAGGGTCAGAAAATGGATATTGATGACTCCATAAGACATCAAAGGAAATATTTGGCGGTGATTTATCGATATATAATTTGTACCCAAGATATCCAAAAATTTTAATTACATGCGATAGGTAGTTTTGAAAGTTCTGAAATTTGTGCCAATTTCATTATTCATAGTGACATTCAAATTCAAAAATTTTCAAACAATGTCTCTCATAGATCTTAACATTTTTTCTTTAATTTGTAAATAAAAGTGTTCGCATAAATTTTTAATTCCAAACATGATTTTTTGTAAAAAAGCATGAAATTAAATGTTTCTTTTCGGAAATTTAAAGCAATCACTCACTTCATGACCAGTTATCCAGACTACCGGTTGTCTTGCACTGATGAAATCGATTGAGAAATAGCTTGGTATATTCAGACTACAATTTCGATCACATATGAGTACTTCAATTTTAAGAATATATTAAAATGAAATTAACAAAGGAACTTCGTTTGAGATGCAAACAAGTGAGGAAGTTTGCAATATTAGAATAAGCTGAAGATGGAATAAAATGGAAATAAGGGAACGAAATGTCATTACTTGTATTTAAAAATGAGTAAAAATCAAGTACTTACTTTCGTGTCTCCTCTGAAGTGGTACGTAGATGTAGTAAATTAATAACTGTAAGAAGAATACCAAATAGCAAACTTATGGTGGACAGATAAATTGACCGGGAAAAACGACGAGTGATAAGCATTCGGAGTGACTTTGCTTTAAAAAATATCATTTGCCTAAAACATTATTTTGTATACGACCAATGGAATAGAATTGAAATTTATTTAAACTGTTCACTGATTTTAAATTATCTGGAATAGAGGTTAAAGACTTAGGAATTTAAGGGTGGTATGAGAAACACATTCAAAATCTATGTATGGTATGCAAATTCGTGGCTTCATATAAAGAATTCGTGACTGTTGCATTCAGAAAAATGCTCGAAATCAAATATTTATGCAGTAATTAAGAGAATTATCACTGGGCGCTATTGTCGACAGAGTAACCTTGGATTGCAGCTTTTTCTGACAAAATGAATTAGTATTAGATTAGTGGCAAACGGTGTTTGTCCAATTCAAGAGATTTGAACATCGTCCGTACAAATGTGCTAAATTTGTAAATGAAAGTATATCATTTATAGTGAAAAAATGATGATGGCCGTGAATCGAGGTGTTTTTCAAGGACATCTGTTAACTTATTCAACTCTGATTGATAAACTTTTCAAACAGTAAATTGTTCGTAGAAAAACATTAATGCGCTTTTGACAGCAATAAAAAGTTCCCTCAGATGTCGTCCTCTGCCTCAATTTGTCGCATGCAAATTTTGTTTTAATTTTTATCTGAAATGCATAAAATTTTGAAATAAAAATGTTTTGATAAAAAAGATAAGGAGATAAAAAATTAAGAGAATTAAAAAAATATACGATGATAAGTGAACGCGGTATTTGTTTCAAAAACAAATTGATGACAAACGGTTTTATTTATTAGAAAGTGTTATGCAGTAATGATAACATTTCCATTCCCACTTACACTTTACATATTTCACTTCACTTTATCCTATTTTTATTTTCATTAATTTCCATAAGCATAACTCAGTACTCATGTTCATACAAATCAATTGCTAATACTCTTTTGATTAAACTTACTGTGAAGCTGAGATAACAAGCATCTCTGATCGTTTGATAATTTTTCTCTATCGAATAGTTTACAAAATTAATTTGATCGACATATATACTTTAACATTCCAAATAGATCCATCATTTTATCATATTTATTTCAGCCTGACGTCTCATATCAAAGTCGTCAAACACGTCTGTTGCGCTACATTAATTGTCGTAGATCTTGCAAAATACTTATTGTTTATTCAATGCGGAATATTAGCTTTACTCATCGGATTCTTTATACCAACTGTGCTCTTATTAAGCAAATTAGAGATAAGAGCTTTCCTTACAAATCTAAAATTGACAAAAATTTTTACTGATATCATATTGCAGGAACAATTAGAAGCAATGAAAGCCGAACATCGAATCTATCAGACTTACGATGGGCCCAATAGCACTTGCAACTGTCATTATATGCATCTGCAAGTGTATGAGGTATGAGTATGAGTATGAATAAGGCAAAAGTATCAGTTCCATAACTGATCTTTTCAATAACTTTACACTTTCATTATCTACTTTGTATTTGATATTTGCCAATTTCTATAATATATTTTTAATGCATCACTTCCCCTAAATGCTGTAACGATAATAGCTAAGTATAACTGCTTAAACCTGAAACGAATTTACAGAATAATGCTATGTCTAATCTTCTATCGATTCGTTTTTTTTTAGCAAGAACAGAACGATACGATTTTTTTGAAGTTACTAGTATGCATTCCCGCCTTCTTTTATTGTTACACTAATAATTTCCACCTGTATGTCTAACAATTGATTAGGTCTAGTGAACTGGTGAAGACTTTATATTCAATTCATTTTATAATTTCGTTCTGCTTTCATATGAAGTCTGAGTCAAGTCCTATGCTTTGACTGCTACGAAAAATATCTGATCTGCAGGTGAAATTGAAATAATTCCATGTGCACTCCTTTTTTATATGCCAACGGTACAACTTGATTCTAAATCCACTTTCCACAAAAACGTACCCTGAACCTCAACCCGCAATCCTTCCTGCACCTCACCTAAAAACATCGGTGGCATGAAAAATCTCGCAATGACCGAATTACCGTCACATGGTCCTGTTACCATCGACTAGCGGAGTATATAAATACTGTAGCAAAGTATAAAGAAAAAGTTAGTGTTGTCGCATTTGCGCCGCAATATAAGTCCGCCACCATGCTCCACGACGGTGTACAGGAGAGCTTTGAAATTTCCTAGATGTATTCAATTCACAACGAAGAAAGGATAACACATTTTTCGAAATTAGTTTTATGCTAAAGTTTACTTTACGAAAGGATGCAAGCAACCATTTTGATATGTTTTTAACATAAACGTGCATTATGCCTATAGCAATGGTTACTGTGTAGCAAGAATATTAAATGGTTCAATTAGAATAATACCTCACAATTTATCCACTTATTTCAAATAAAATACAACGCAACTAAAATCCACCTCTCGTTTCAAAGTTCAAATTTATTGGCGGATTTAAAACTCCACGTCGCGATATTTTTTGAAAATCAGCATCTTGTTTAATTCTTTATCTTACTAATTCAATTACACATTCATTAGAGGATTATTTACTTACCAATCATTTTGCTGTATAAAACTCGGAAAAAAGATTTTAGGACTTTTTTAAAAAAATGGGAATTCTGTGGCTACTAAAGATTCCAAAACTTAAATAGTATATAAACCAGTATTTTATTCAAAGCTGAAAATCTTTTTCACAAAACTTATCCGGACTACGAATTTTTACATCAAAATGGAATACTTCGGTAAATTTCTCGCACAAAATTGGAAAAACATCATTGACTGAAACATTTCTTCCCAACTCTTGTGTCAAAGAAGTAACTTGCTTTCCAACTAAACCACAAGGTACAATCTGAAACTACTAATATTTTGATTGGAGATGTATATATGTATTCGAAACGTAAAATGTAAGAATTTATGAAGTAGCATTATTTGTCAAAAGTTAAAAACCGCGATTAGGATCGAAGTGTTGGTCACCTAATCTCAAAACATACCCGGATTACTTCAACTATTTGGATTTAATATATAAAACATAAATGTAACATGTCAGAAGCAAAACAAACTCATATTTCTCTTGCAGATTTATGACAGCAAAAAATTCAACTCAAAATATTAAATGCAATAATATCAAATTTTACCTGACGGAACCAATTCAAATCTGTATTACAGTTAAGCGCTAAACCATGACTAACAATGCCATTACAAACATTTATACCAATCGCCGCTATTTTTTTCATACCGTTCGCTAGCCAAACTCCTGAAATTGCCACTGATTTATCAAAAAAAAACAGTAAAGAATATCACCAATATGATATTTTCTTCATTTGCTTGAACCTTCTGATTAATTATGTTCCGTCACATTTCGAAATTATCTAGTCACAATCAAATTCAAACTCAGATATAATACATGCATTTCTATATGACAATTTCCGTATACAATTTTTGAAAATTAACCTGTATTGGATGATCGACCTGCATCCAGCAAGCCGAAACTATGCACAGTTTTGATGACTACCTCTTCAATAAGATGCACATAACGCCGAACACCTACAAAAGTGGAGTTCTGGTCGGGACCTTTTACATTTAATAGATGAAGATCAATAATAGGATAAACAACAAGCTGGCCAGGGCCATGAAATGTGATGAGTCCACCTCGTTTGGTCCTGAAATCCAAATACTCAAACCAAAGATGTTTTGAGCAGCCATTTACAAAAGTGTATTCAAATAAATTAGAAATATCGACTGCTGCGTAACCACATGCGCAGCAGTCCATATATGTGATGCTCATATATTCTCTATGTTTACTGCATACGATATAAAAAATTGAATACCGGTAAAAGTCAGCTCCCAATTTCTTCAACCGGTTTTCCTCATCTTCATTATACTGAAAGTGCCTTATGCCAACAGTATAAACAGGTGTATGTTCCAGTAACAATAAGTAGCTCCTGAAATTCTTGAATAGAATAGAAAAATTACTTTCCTTAACTACAAAGATAAATATAGAATATCAAACTCAAACTCACTTCTTCAAATCAGATTTCATTTTCCGTGAAGCAAGCAGTTTATCAACATAATAGCATTGCTGTTTTAATCCATCTGTATAGGTAACTCGACCTAACCACATTGCATCAGCAGCACTTCGTATTGAAGACGCATAAAGCCGCATATTCGAGAATAAGAGAAGTCACAAGCAGAATAAAATAAAAATATCAAATAAAGAAATCAATCCAACTATTTTAAATAACTTTTCAGGAACGATCACTTCCGCCTTTTCGGATCAGGTGGCGCTACAGAATGCAGTCTTTCCTCACGGTATCTGGAAACATCTTTGAAATATTTTAAATAAATGCAAAGAAACACATACAAAAACGAATCTACTTTAACTCATTTCACGCAAATACGATTTACTGGTTCTCACATGCTGGCATATACATCCCGTTGTACGTCCGTTTTTTCAAATCACAATGAGATATGAATGAAAAAACTTATGAAGCAAATTATCTACAGGAGTCAAAGGATTTGGAAGCTACTGTAATCTAAGCTTTGTACAAGTCACATTTCAGTAAATATTTATTACCTATGTTTGAGTAATTTTCAAAAATATCAAAATTATACCTTGTATACCACTCGTGCTTGCCAGTATAAAATATTTCGCGAAGCATATAATTACGAGGACCTTTACGTGCTAATGAACCCTTCAAACCAGCAATGCGCTCGATCTCCTTACTCAGCGCACCCGAACTCTGTAACATCAAAAATAAAAGCATAATTCGACAATATAAAATTACACTTAAAATATTCTTCTAAAGTAAAACTTTAATAAAATCTGGCAATTTATGCGCTTTTGTTTATTTAACTGCTTATGGATGTTGGTACAATGAGGAACAAGAACTATTTTATAACACATTATTATTTATCGAACATTTCAGATATCAACTACCAGTCGGAACATCACATTTTCAAAATTAAATAAAAATAACCTGTTTCTCTGCTTCTATTTTTTTTAAATCAATGGGCTTGGAATGTTCGTATGGAAACGATCTCTCCGGATGCCAGCAAGCAATTGTACCACTCTTACAAACTACGGTACAAGATTTGCTGAAAACTTCAGTTACTTTTATCGAGATCGTATCTTAAACTCAACTGCTCCAATTATCCTTCATATCAATGATGTATTATTATTATTATTACTGCACATAACTTCATTTTCCATTCGTCAGTTTTTTTTTAGTTCTTTTCAATGAAGCATTCGAACATTCAGATATTCAATGATCAGAACATATTTGAAATCTTGAAATGAAATGTTTCCAGGACTAAAAGAAGGATGAGGTGACGAGATGCAACGAAGGCTTTCATCATAGGACAGGGTACCAAAAAATGAAATATTACCTTAGGTCAATCTCTTCGTAATTGCTGAAACTTCGGAACACTCGATGAATTAGTCGTAGCGGTGTGTTATACCGAGGAGCACAGGAAAACATCACTTTCTACTCACCTCCCTCATCGACAACGATACCATTCAGATCGTCTCACGT